ATAATTCTCATGATAAATAATTCCACTCCTCGATCCTCAGTAGCTGCAGACGAAATCAGCGAAGTGCTCTTCAGTTAGTGTTTCTTTTGCTGCAGAATCGTACCCGGCAAAGGCGTAACTTGCCCACTCTAATTGCTTTGATTTGTGGTGACGAAGGGTTTGGTACTTAAAGCATTCAGTTGGTGTAATCTTTTATCGCGGTAACTTTACTTTTGACTATTTAGTCAAGTAGTTAGATTAGGCCGGGGGGAGAGGTTACTCCTAGCGGCTGAGAACCTAGAGACCCAGTTCTTCAAATGTGGATTCCGTTTCCCCATTCTACAAAAATGCCAACCTTTAGGCCGCCGTTCTAGAAAATAGAGTACATTTTAGTAGGTCAGGCAGCGCTTTAGCGTTTTCCTGAAGCTCTTCCTACATAAATCGATGACGTGACAACAGAGAAAGTCCAAAGTTTCTTGTCACGCGATGGTTTAGTTAGGGTTAGGTCAGAGTTCAGTACTCAACGTGTTCAGTAATCCGAGACTACAGCACGTTATTGGATTTGCATATCAAATGATTCGAATACGTGTGAAGAATCTCGGTGTAAACATGCATATTGCGCAGGGCGATCATTTGTCCTCACCGGTTTGGTGAATGAACTAACATGTAGTCGAAATAAGAACGACTTCATTGTTTGAAACGTCACATTTTGAAAACGTGCAAGCCTGACTGAAAGAAACCTCGGTTTGCGGTCGCTATTTACGCTTTTTGGCTGTTTAACTACCGGATTTCGGAAGTTAATCATCATGATGAGTATTTATTCAAGGATTCTTCCACGGAATGTTTTAAGTTTGCCATTTTGTCGAGCGCTTTACAGTCAAATTCTAGAAAGGATTGCAGATGCTCCAGTGTCGTTACTCGATTGTACTTGAAATGATCGCATCGATTACGCATGTATCATGATGGTGAACATTTTTCAAGACTTTTGTTACTCTCTTCAGTGGCATCAATCTCTTTTTCCTTTGTTGTCTTTGTTCCACTTTTATTTCGTTGGATTGTTTTCTCTGAACATGGGGTCTAAAAGGTACATTGTTAATGAATACCTGAATGCTATCTGAATTGACACAAATATGTATGATAATGATTATAAAATGTACTGTTCCGACTCAGTAGACACTGTATATGTGCTCAAGGTTCCCTTGCACGTGGAATATTAATGAAATAAAGGGAATACTGTCTTTAGGAAAAGGACCTTCCTGTAGTAAAGGTAGGGGAAATAAATATTGTATGAAATGTTTATGAGTAAGTTTTTGTTCTCATCACGAACCTTTCGCGTGCCTCTATCGCTCAGTATCCAGGGGCTTCAATAGCAGGGAAACCGACCCTCATTAGCGGTAGCTGAAGTCTTGGCTATAAACTATTACAAGTCCATTGCCACCGACAAGGAAAACGTTTGAGCTGATCTTTGCAATCACAGTATATTTATTCCATTCTTCGCTTTACACTTGAAAGTAATTTCTCTAAAATAATTTGGATGGAAACTTTGAATGTTAAATTTAATATTGAACCCAATTAAAAGGTTCACACTTAGAGATGTTGTTGGCAGCTCCCTGTTAATTGCTATTAAACGTTTCTTGGACTTTGTTGACATCGATTGTTAATTGCTGGGTTACTTAATAATGAAATTAAAGAAATCCTTCAGTTTTCTCACGTGAGACCATAGGAGTTTTCCCTGCTTGCTGTGCTCAACATCGCACATGGTCACTATTATTTGCACAGGCTTCAAAGATCATCAAGAAGAATATTCCAGTGTCGGTAAACCTGTTAGAAACCAAGGAAAACTTAAAGGAAACATTCAAGCAACATCCCAGTAAGTCTTAAAGTTAAAATGCAACTTTAATTTTGTACTACATTTTGCTTGTTGTATTTTCTTCTAGACATGCGAAATGTTACTTTATTTAATATCGACACATTCAACACGTGAAAATTATTCTTGGATGAAAGGAACGCAGAATGTGAAAATAGAAAAGTAGGTTGGATATCCTGTGCCTCCTGCCTGTACTTTAAACTATCTGAACTGAAATGTTTGTTGTTAGCGGGTAGTTTTTTGATCATTTGCAAATGTTTGCTCTTGTAAATAGCGATTTCACGTGTCAGTCACGAAGAGTACGTCTGCGTAGAGTAGAGTTTAACCTGTACAGTAATCGGGCTCTCCTTTCCCACACTTAGAAGAGCGAAAGGGACAAACGAAGGACAATTTTCGACTGATATCGATTGCCGATAACACTCGATGAAAATCGACGAAGAAAAGAAATTGTGAGTAATCGATCGTTGTCGATTGCCGATAGTAATCGATAACAATTGATTCATCGATATCGGAAATTATTTTTCTCCTTTTACAAGTTGCACCGATAAAATCATTGACGAAATTTGTTTACAATGGTTTTAATGAGTCATTTTATCTTTATAGCCTACGTATCGTTTGCAATCATCAACAAAATAACAAGAACAGAAAAAAACAAAAATCATTTTGGACTTCACATCTTTCTTTGAATTTACGAATTTGAGCTAAATTTTGATTTACGCACAATTGTCAGTAAAGATATTCAGGATGCAGTCGAAAGCGCGGGAATGAACAGATATATTGTTTTTGTTTTTTTTTTTTAAAGAAAGGTTATTGGCGACTCTTTTTTATTCAATCGATAACCATCGATATTCTTGACAATAATTTTCGATTTTTATCGATTTTTGTCAATTGATAGTTATCGATAAACATTTTTTCTGCGAGATCGATTGTTATCGATTGATTTTCGATTTAACAAATTGGCTGTGGAACCACGAGCCGCAGGCGAGTGGTTCCGCAGTAAACTTTGACAATGTTATGATGCAATTTATCTTCAATAAGAGGACAGACGCATAAAAAGCTGACGTCAATCTGTTTTTTACAATAACAAAACCCCAAAATGGCCAAATGCCGGGATAAACGAGGGGAAAAGACGCCGTAAACTTGCCGTAAACAAAGATCAGTGAATTCTATTCAAAATGACGCGAACATTGTCAATAGCTTTTTCTCGCTTTTTGACTGGCTACTTAAAAAAGTCCATAAGTTATCATTGGTTAAAAAGTTGACAGTTTGACAGCTGAAAGTTTAACTTGAAAGTTTGCTAAATTAAAATTTTATCCGTCAGTGGTCTTATTGATGATAAAAATGAGCCAATCAGCGCGTGGGAAATTAGACAGTTATTGTAAAAATTGATTTTTATCGATTGACTACGCCTGTATATACCTGCAGTATAAATACAGACTACAATACTATACCGTAGTTGAAGTAAGAACTGGGATCGAACTATCCGTTGTTCTCATAAGGGGACCATAACTGCAGAAAATTCCGCGAGTTCAAAAGAGAACTTTGTAATTTATCATGTTTACGAGTGAAAGAAATATCTGCCTTCAGTCTCCTGATGGCACATGTGTGATAGTTCACTAGAGAACGGGTCTGTAGCCTGTCAGCATGTGTAAGCACACTCGACCTAGACATGCACATTGAGCTTGGGACTACCTTTGTTCAGCTGTCAATACAGTGTAAACGACACTAAAAATAGAATTAACCCTTAAAGCCGCAAGTCTTGTGAACCCCACAAGCTGTTAAGCCAAATCATGTGTCACATTAGCTACTGTCCTTCTCCGGGGTTGGGGAGGAGGGCCTAAGTCATGTCGCGAGGATCGAGCACCTAATGATGAAATTTAGTCAAGATTTGGTATGTGGAAACCCAGGTGTGGAAAGAACTATGTTAAAGTAAAGTTACGTGGGCGTTGACCTGCACATTCAAAGTAAACAGGTTCGAGTGAAGCTAGTACGACGTACTGCCGAAATTATTGACCATTATTCATGTTCAGGTATAATCACAATAGGAAAGTTCATTTGCACGTTAAACAGTGGCTTAAAGTGTTAACGGAAAGGCGATGATAGGAGCCTTTTGTTTTACAAGGTGTGCGCTTATCTTAATTCGTTCATCAAAAGTTATACATATTGGAAATGACTGTCGAGAACACACTTGGTGAATCGAGACGGTGTTCTATTTGGTTGTTTTTGTGTCTGCTAAATAAATGCTTCAAAGATACAGCGGCGCAGATTCGTCCAGCAAACCACTTAAAATATTAATACATTTAACTATTTATTTGAAATTTTAGTTATTTAGATATCGGAAGGTTCGTAACCCGCGATAGATAGCGTCTGCGACGTAGCCGAGCTATGCCAGGAGATTCGTAGCTTAGATACTCAATCGGACAGCGTAATCAAACAATAGAAACCACGTGTATAATTATGAAATCACAGGTGTCGTTCGATTCGTGTTTAGCTAGAGCAGGTCGCTTTCTTCATCCTTCTCTGGTCATCTCATGGAAACGTTACTGTAATTGTTGGTCAATCGCAAATTCGCAATCCCTCCTGCAGTCCAATTGAACGGCTAATTTAAGATCTCGTGGTCGGTCATCGAACATACAAAACATCATTTGGAGGGAAAGTGTATCATAGTTTTAACTAATTATGAAGAAATGTCAAGCAGTCAAGAGCATTAACAACGAACGTCATGTCAGTCTTTGTACGCTACTGATAACAGTCTTCGAAGTGAGTCACTTCTTTAGTTTTGCTCAGTTTAACAAGTAGCAATATTTTTGAGTGGGGTCAGCACGATGGCATCGAGAAAAATCATGTGTAATTGTCAGCAGTTACCCTACACAGGTGTAAAACGGGGACGAGAGGGGAGGAGAGCGAGAGCGGGGAAGAAAGACAGGGCGTTCCTTCGCCTTTTTCCTCGCGTTTCTTGCCTCCCTACCCCTTCCCGTTTATTCCTGCAACGCACTGCTGCTCCGATCTTTCGTGACAGACAAGTCACGCTTTCTATCACCAAAATTTCAATACAAACTGGTTCACGTAGCCTCCTACGCAGACGTATTTTGGGCGGCTCGTCAGGCAATCTTCCTCTCCCACGAACATGGGCAAGGAGGCTAGTGTTCATGCAGCTTTGTGGCAAATTGGAAGAATTAGTTCATTTCACTTCCCATCAACGCCCCTTGACTTTCGGATGTCACCCAGAACGGTCGTCGATGAATTATCAGTGTTGCTTGATCTAGAGATTTTGCTACCGATGATGTATTTTGGTCCGGGATCCTGAGTCACAGCACGACAAAACTTAGTCACACAAATTTGTCATATTGGTTTGAAGCGGTCAGGCCTGGATAAAGGCCGAGTGGGATTTCTTCTCTTTCAACCTTATTTTTTCGGTGAAAAATGCACTCAAATAACATTCAAGCTGAAATTTGTTTCTAAAGTCGATGCATGCAGCAATTGATTATATGTTTACGTTGTGATCAACTACTGGAACTCTGACAGTACAGTATATTGCTCCAAAATATCCGCAATACAATATAGCTAACTTCATCATTTGAATAACAACACGCGTCAGGTAACTACATCCGACAACACTGTTTCGAACTGTTTAAAATTTTCAACGTTTAAAAATTTTGAAAAAAAGGTGGTCAGTGTCCGGTTTTGTGACTCTCACATGATCCGTCTTGCGTGACAGTTTATTATGCTGGATAAGTAGCAAAGAAGCAGCAGGAAAGACCGTACTTTTACACAAACCTGAGCTCCAATCTTAATGGTGCCCACAGTCAGACTCGGTTATGGGGTAAAATCGAACGCTTAACGAATGCAAGGTAAATATATCAAATTGTACTGATCTACCCCTGCACTGTTACATTTAGCATTTAGGAGTGGGCGGAATTCAGTGGGAATGTGCAATATGAAATTGTATTTGACAGTACCCACTGACATCATTGCCGACTGGGATTGTCCCTTTTAAGCATTACAGTTGAAAGAGTTCAGATAAGGCAACACGATTTTGCCACGCATATTAAACGGCATGAAGTTTATACTCTGATGCAGCTAAAGAGAGACAACCCAGTCTCCACTAACTGTACCAATTGTCATCCGGTGAAACCTGGAAGAGTACGATCTGTTCCTATTAACAATTACATCAGTTTTTTCGAGCTGACTTAGGTTTCAACGCAGTCTTGTCGAATCAGCAAAGCTGTTAAGTGTTTGTATTATAAAAAAGACGGGAAATCGCGGCCAAAATCCCAGAATCCTACGTAATTAGGCGAACAAAACGTAACTGCGTATTAAACTGCGTCAGAGATAGGCGACTTATGCTTCGCAAGCACATTTTTGGGTAAATTGGAAATTGCACAATTTGGGTTACAGCATAATGCACGCGATCGGGAGTAAAACCGTACAATAAACGTACAATAAACGTATCACTCATATGGTGACCGAATAAGCAGAAGAAAACAACAATTTTGAGCAAAAATGCTGTCGTATAGAATACAATATCATCCAACTTACATTAAAAACATTTGCAAACACGTGACAAGATCCTTTAGGATGGAAATGCAACGTGACCCCTGAAAATATTCATCTCTGATTCCCGTAGCTTTGTCCATGATTTGGTGAAGACCATCTAGAACTGTTGGTACGTAGTTTTAACACCTGTTCGATGTATAATAAAAAGCTCTTTTCAATATAAACTTGGACTCCCTCTCTTTTAGCAATGAATTTCATTTGGAGCCAGTATCACTTTGTCGAAATGTATTCGTGACTCGACGAAATTTAAATAATTAATGGAAGTCGAGACACGAGCAGTGAAACGTATGAATCAGAGGGAATTACGATGGTCCGCCAGAAAATCATCATAGCTTATTAAACACTCGTATTAAATCAGATTAATTAAATAAACAGTCTTAACTTAGGCCTGGCTTTAGTGCTGACTACAATCAAACCTGGCAGTTTGTGGAAATTCAGCTCAGCCTTTCCTTGCGTTACAAAACCGCAGCACTTTTACCCTCCACTTTTACAGGGCCATTGGACTATCAAAGCAGTGACTAAATAAACCTGTATAAAACACTTGCAATTTGAACTTTCACCTTAAACACGCTGCACGTCACATGCACGTGACTTTATGTGACGTCAAAGGGCAGCTGACATTTCACGTCATAACAGTTGCGCGATGAAGAGAAACCGTTGTCAACGCAGTAGAGCCGCGTAAGCAAACCACACTTATTTTGCCGACACGTCAGACACAACTGAAGTACTTTTCCTGGATATGCTTTGTTGGAAGGAAGAGAGTCGAACCTATAAAACCACAATCGTAATTTACCGTGAAATTCTTTCTTCGAATTTTTCTTTTCCGGATTATCAGCTTACATTTTTAACTTGCAAAATAGCATGGGCATTTTTCAAGTTGTTGGTATGACGGTAAATTTAACTCCTTCCCTGGCTTTCTGTTAGACTTTTCGTACATTCGTTGACCAGTCCGTTACCGTTGCTTTAGTTAGGGGCTATTTCCTAACAATGTCACTGAGTTGTAATTCAGTTGCTGTCTAGCTCGATATATAAATGAAATATGACCTCTGCATTAAAAACTCAGTACAGTGGCCTCAAAATTGCCACTGTTTTGCCGACGATTCATTTTCCAAGTTTAGTGGTTCATAGCCACTTTAATTCACATTTACTAGCAGTTTATAAGGTATTTTTCAATCTTTGATGTGGTTTTAGGAAAAGGTTCACGTTCCGTCTTTTCATCAATCTTTAAATTATCTGGAAGCTCACTCTTATTATAACGTAGAACATGGTCAATCAGGCTGGCAAAGAAATACAAGGAAATACCAGTATATTTCTTTTTATTTCTTTATAAATGAACTCCTTTACGCTACGTGGTATTTCTCTTTCGTTCTGGGCCTCTGATGTATTTGTTCGGGGATTCTATGGAGGAGAGATATCAGTAGAAACACAATTTATGTAGCCTGACACCTGTTCCGGCTGTACCTCCCCGAAAAACATATCTCGAACTTCAAGTCCAGTCATAACAAGTTTACCTTTAGTATTCACATTATTTTTAGTTGTTATCGCATTGCATTACTGCCTCACTCCTTTTATATGGCTATTACTAGACAGTGCTCTCTAAAGTACGACGAAGACTTTCGTAAAGAGGATTCGAAGATTAAAATTACTACATTGCTCG